AGTATACATGTTAAGAATATTTTTTACATTAATAGAGAATTACAAAGCATCAAAAACTATACTGTATTAATTTTTTTGGGAGCCGCTAGTCACCAATCACCCCCAATTTTAAAGAACAATAAGCATGACAGCAACCCAAAGCAGCGCTTGCACACGCGCAGACAACACCATCGCTGCTTCCGTTGGCCTTGCTCGGCTTTCCCTTGCAGAACAATGCTGCTCAAACTTTCACTCTCACTCTCACTCCGAGAACAGCAAATGGTCTCTTTCGAGCCATGGTCCGGCACTCTACCTCCTCTACGGTTCAAACTCCGATCTTTGGGTCAGGGACACGAGACACAGCCCCTTGTCTCCGTCGCATTCGGAAGTCAGGTCGCCGCCTGACTTCAAGCCAAGTGCAAAAAATAAACATACAATAATTTTAAAATGTGAAATAAAGAGAAAAACATTTGGAAAAATAGATTAAAGTTCACACGCTAATTTGATATTTGAAAATATTTAATTAAAAATGTACTTACCAAAAATATATTTTGAACCAAATGCAATCTTTAACTGACATAATTTTAATCTTCTTTATAATATCAAAAAATTAAAACGTGTATGAATGTCGTCAATTGATTCAAAAGCTACAGACAATTTTTTTTTTTGAAAATAAAACAATTGACATGCTGATTTTTTTATTTAAAGTATTTATTTGCATGAAGACATATTTGGAAAATCTACGCGCAAATGAAACGCTTCATAATCACTGCAATGTTTAAATGAAATGTTTTTAAAGCTAAAGTAAATCAACAAATGTAATTTATGAATGAATATCACTCAATTATTCAAAAGGCAAAATTTTTTTTTAAGAGACTATAATCTACAGATCAAAATCTGGAATCTCAAACATATACAATAAACAATCTTTTCATTCAAATTCTTTTTTTCCCTTAATTGTACATTTTTAGCACTGCAAGTTGAATTTCATCTAATATAGAAAAAATTCAGATGTGTTATAATTTGAAAAATATTTTATAAAATTTGTGAAAAAATACTATCATTAAAAAAAAATGGTGAAATGGCTGAAATTTCAACAAGTTGTAATGATGTATTTAATGTATTTAATGTTTACAACGTTCGAAATAATCACTAATGGAATTGAAAAACGAAAAGAATACTGTATTCTTTTCCAACTGCCAGCGGAGGTTAATCCCACCAAATGTTAAATACTAAGTCGAGCTCGCCAGTTGTTCGCTCCACCTCCGCCCGAATCGTCAACCCCAGTGCATCAATCCCGCTCAAATAAAAAATATATTTTCCCTGAAGCACTTGGTGTGACCGCAGTACTCGTTGGCGGAGGACTCTCCCTCCTGCTTCAGGGCGAGCTAAAGAAGAGAAGAGTGAAGCACATCGCAGCGCCTATTCTCGGAGTCGGAGATCTTCTCGATTTCGAAAGAAGCGACCTCGTTCGCTCCGAAACGCAACGGCGTTGTGTGTGCACGCTATTTAAATCCGGCCGAGGACGTCGATTTGAAAGAAGAATTGGCGGGCCGGATCCGAGGAACCCGACCCTAAATGTGGAGCCGATGGGAGCGTCTAAACAACGGTCGAGTCGCCGGGTGACTCGATCAATAAGTCGCCGGGCGGATCTGGATGGGATCTAGGGCTCACGATGGGCGCCAATGACGGAAGGTCTGGCTGGACTGGAGGCCGCGCCAGCCTTGCAGGCAGGCATCACCGAGTGCCAACTCAGGGGCTCGGGTCCTCGAGGCCGCGAGCGCTGTCGTCCAGGACAAGAAAGGCGGCTTCTGGGAATAGAGGAGCTCGAGATGGCGCCCAAGGATCTCTCGGTGTCTTCGATCGATGAACCTGTGTGCGTGAGAATCCATTTGTCAGTGCTCTGCGAGGCTCGTTGCAGTGTCTGACGGATGAATACGATCAGAGAATCAATAAACGTCGGACCGATCTTGCGTGGAAAGATAAACAGAACACATTTGCAGTCAGGTTTGGATATGTGCTGGGCCTTGAAGTAAAGTCAGGTTTGTGTTTATCCGAGGGTTGCAGAAATCCACGAGGACAACGATTAGGATAAGATCATCGCTGCATTCATCATAACTACTTTTCCTTGTACGCCTTGAAGGGGCCTTTCCATCCTTTTCGTTGTTTTCCTGAGTCCCCCTCCCCGCTTATTCTTCATAACTACTAGTAAACAGAATTCGCCTTTCCGAACAAGTTTGGCAGACGGGAGATACATGACCAGAACAACAGACTAGTCAGAAAAGAGAATTGAACACCCTCTCTTGAATTTGAACATATTGAAATATTCAGAGCACGTAATTTACTTTTCAGTCCAGTGCTCGCAACTGTGGTGGCAAGCGGAATCTATCCAGGAAGACTAAAGGTTGTTTGGAAAGTCAATCTGAGAAAGGAGACACGAAACACTCGGTGATCGAGAGCTATCGAACACTGTAAGGAAATGTCATGCCTTTCGGCATGCTTTGCAGTTAAACGTGTGAATCTTTGTGAGATTGTGCAGATGTGGATTGCAGTTACCATGTTGCACTTACTACTTGTCTTCGTTGGAAATGCCCATCAGCCCCTTGCATTTTTCGAGGTAGTGCGCTTACATCGGGTGCACTTCTCGACCGTTCTCCACGAGTACAAGTGAACGGGAAGAGTGACTTTGTTCCGATAGTTATGGCCCGTCCCCCGCGCCGTGATCTCTGTTAAGAACTGTCGGTAGGTTGCGAGATTGGTCTTTGTTTCGATTCTGCCGAGTTCTGAGGAAAAGGAAACCGCAACCTGAAAACCTCAATCCTCACCGGGTATATGTCAACATCTATTTTTGCCGGTGCGGTGCTCTTTACAACTGACGGTATAGTCTACCTAATCTGCCTGAATCTCTCTTTCCTTCAGGCAGGATGGTGATGCGTTGTTACTTCTTCTGAGTTTCAGGTTTCTTCATGTCTTCGTTTTAATTGCAAGTTCATCACTTAAATAGGAGTTTCAGTGCTCCCGGCCACTGGAAAACACAATCATGGTGCCGTACAGCGGACATGCTTGTACTGTAGCCTAATTTTCCCCCCTGAAAGGCGGAATGTTTCGACCTGGAACTGTGCAGGGCAATGCAAGTGGCTCACCCACAAAGCCCATCAGAAAAACGGAGAAAGAGCTATTTAATGAATCAACGCTGCTGTGGAGGCAAGTGCGGGTCGGAATACTGTACATACTTTCCATTGTGCCTAACCTGGACTCAAAGAAGCGTCTAGGTAATTCCAAATTACCGAGCTAGATGACTTCAGCAGCTGTTCTTTAGATGTAGATGCCATGCTGAAGATGTGAATCTTGTACGATTGTGGATAATGTAGTATCTTAAAGAGCTCTGACGAGTGAACCGTATTTGTTAGTAGCGGCCTAAAATTTGTATAGTGTTCCAGGACATTGAAGAGAATAGTCACAAAATTTCTCAAGAATTGGGAATGGCGAACATTTGGATTTTAAAGTGATTTGGGTTTTACAAAATACAATGAGTACAAATTGTAGAAATTAAGGCTATAGCTTACACTAAGCGTCAGGATATGAAAACAATTACCAAGATTCAAAATCATATTAACCAGTCTATATGTCATTTGAGACAAACAGATATATGAAAAGGTTGAAAATTTCTGTATATATATAACTTTTCAACTTAAACGTTGATGGATGCAATCATAAATATATAGACCATCTGTAGTTTGAGATAAAAATCTATATACAAGATAAATAATTATCATATACAATAATAGAAAACACTATTATAAATACAACAAATAATGGGAAGTTTATAAAAAAACTAGATAATCACATATCAGGTTGACATGTTTGAGATCAACATATTGATATATGGAAAAAATTTTCAAACATGTCGACACAACTTGGTATGTGGTTCTCAGGTTTTTTTTTTTTAAATTCTTCATCCATTTATTGATCCATGTTAAATTTTTTAAATATTTTTAAGTCATGTTTATAATTACAATATTTGTCCATACATTTTAATCAGTTAAGCTTTTACCAAGTTACTACATCATTGAACATGCAAAAATATGAAGTATCTCTTTTTGAGATTTATTGATGTCATTATTTGGTAAAACTATACTGTAACATATGTTCAGTTCAATTGATAGACCTTATGAAGCTTAAAAAAGTTATGTTTATGTGTGAATCATGATGAAAGTTACATTTGAATTTGATTTATCTAACTGATTTTTACGTAGATTTTTGACTGAAAAACTTTTATACTTTAAATTTCAAAATATTGCCAAGTATTTCTTCAAATGCGCAATCACTAATTTTTTAGTTGTGGTATAATCAAAACTAAGCAAACATCTTTACAAAGTTGAAGTCAAACAAGAAATGCACTTGATCAATTCAACTTGCAATTCAGTTGAAGTCAAACGCCAAGAAATGCACTTGATCAATTTGCATTTCAGTTGAATTCAAACGCCAAGAAACTCATAGTATAAAAAATGAAAATTATGCCGTGCAACGAATAAAAGTGAACATTATGAAGAGAATGCTGTGATGGATTATGCAGGTTATCGTAGTCATATTTTATACCTATAGCTACGTGATTGAGACTTGGCCAAGTTAAGATCGTACAGGTTGCATGTATCTTCAACATGCAATCGAGTATCCTGCGCCAATGCTGAGTCACAACAGAAATCAGATGTAGATTTTTTTATAAAACTTGAACTTTTGCGTGGACAGTTTTGAATCCCATCGTTGATTTATGAATCGATGAACCGCGGTTTTAAGTGAGAAGGAATGTGGGAAATTGTGCACTGTTGTGATCGTGGCAGAGTCTGAAGTTCAAGCGACTTGATCGAAACGGTGCTGGTGTGGCAAATGTGATCCGAGGAGAGTTCGAGAACTTCTGCTTCCAACCAGGAACTACTGCGTCCGAAGCTTCTTTCCCAACCGGAGTAACCAGGGAACTGATTGAAGCCATTGCGAGGGTGCCAGATTGCAGGTCAAGCGCTCAGATATGCGGATAACGTGGAGGTCAATGGCGGATCCCATCGATCGCACCTCGCTGCAATTTGGACCTACGCTGTCCAGGTAATGACTGTCCAGCTGCTGTGTCGTTGTCTCGGGGCGGGGCAATGGGAACCACCCCATTCATTCACCGGCCAAGGAGTTCGTGCCTTTGTTCCGTGCCGGGCGTCCCAACCCGAAGCGGGGTTGCTACCCACGGGCGCCACAGCTGTCGATGATCCCTGAACCATGTGAGCCCTGTGACTCTTGTCTCCACAACTGCGCCACAATTGGACACGCTGGCGTCAGCTTTCCACTTCGAGAGGCGCCGATGTCCACCACGAAACCAGGCTACTGCAGCCACTGCAGGGTACACCCTCCCTATCGCGACGTCGTATTCTAATCCCGGCTGTCCTTACGTGGTATAGTATGCCAGAACATGCACACACCCAGCACACATGCAGTTACAGGTGTTCTGTCCCAACCATGATCCGTGATTTAACCCGAGATACGTCGGCTGCATTGTCAAGGTCATCTGACACCGGAGTTAAGTTTGAAGCAGCGACTATATCACGGGTGAGTCAGATCATTTGTCTCACACAACGGTGTTCCCTTAGCGCGCGTAGGTGGGTAGGTGACTCCAGTCAGGTTGACGAAGGTTGTCTTGAATTGGTTATTGTCCAGACTCGAGAGGATCAGCGGAAGCAGGTCATGGCGGTTAAATGTCGAAACTCTGGTCCCAGCACACGGAGATTTGCCGTGAGGATGAAGGAAAATCTCGGAGATCCCCATCTATAGAGCAGGGCCGGACGGGCATGAGGGCCTGTCCTTTAGGCCCTAGGACCCTACTGCTTGCTGCCTCGCTGCCAGGCAATCCCTGTTGCATCAGAATATCAGAGCATCTGACAGTTCTGACGTGAGTCAGTACTAGTAATCACCGGGACAGGATAGGAGGTCCACTGAGAAGAAACTTTCATCACGGGTGAGTCAGCTAAGCTGGATTCTAGTACGGGCTCACTGACTGCACGGATGGCGGTAACTCCGGTCAATCACAGAACATCAGAGTTGACAAACGGGACTGGCAGCCGAGATTGTTTGGATCGTAAGATCCATGGAGTTACGAGACGATCGTAAGTGCTAACTCTAAGTCAACTTCATAAGTGGGTAGGAAGTCAACCGCAGGTCAACTTACTCTAGAAGATGTGGCTGGAGTGAAGAGAGGCCGTTTATCTGTGGCCGTAGAGAGGCCATTTTCGATACAGATATCAGTCTGAGAAATTGCTGGTAATAACTGTGACATAAAGATTTCGTTGAAGACTCTGAAAGTAGTTGTGTAATTTGTTGTTTCTGGGAGAAAGGTCGCTGTAAGTGTCAATCGTCAGGACCGTCGTCCGAGACACAATCTTCAAAGGAAGAGCAGAGCAGGTTCGCACATGGACGTGCGCGTGAGGCCTTGAAGAGCTACGAAGAAGATATACTGAAACCTGAAGATACCGAAAAGTGACCATGATTCCCGGGAAAAAGTTAGATAAAAGTCCAAAGTAGAGTCACAAAAAGTTGGAGCAAAATCCATTAGTTTCAGATGGATCCAACCAAAAGGAAACATTATGCAAGGACTAATGATTTCAATGGCCGGGTAATGGAAATCACATGATTTATCTCCATCAATGTGGTTTTTGCTCACTCTATCATGAACACGAAAAAATTTGGATTTCACTCTATTTCCAAATGTAAACGAACAGGAAATTAAACATTGCACATCCCCTTGTAATTTTCATCTTTTCCCATGAAATATATTAAATTACTAGAGTCTTCTTGTTGGAAATGATTTTTCATACATTCTACAGATTGGTCCGATGAATCTCACCATTCCTCGCTCTACTGAACTCTTGCAAAACTGCAGATTCTTCACCCTCCAAAAATCTACACTCTTTACATAAAGAAGATAATGCCTCGGCTTGACAGACAAAGATAAACCTGCATCTCAATTGGAGACGTACAACTTTGGCACCATTCATTTGGAACAATCGTTTAAATGACTCTTTACCCATTCATATTCTAAAGATCAAGAGCATGCATCCATTGAACTACACAAGGCATTGTCTTGTGCCTTCCAAGTTCATGGCATGGAGATCTTTTTTTCTTTACATGTACGATGCGAATTAGAGATTGGCGTCTTGATGCAATCGAGTTGTAGCTCCATTCTAGCCCCTCAGTGCCATTATTCGAAAGGGTGTCCCATCTTCGTCCTTTATCAAGGAAAAGCAAAATCGAAAGCGGAAAAGCAAGAGGAGGAAGGCAGGAATAGGGACGGAAAGGCCCGAAGGGCGACAAGATGGAAGGCGAAGGCGAGGGTTTCGTGACCGCAAAATCTGTATCGTCGCTCGGCATGTGCGTCCATTGCGCCGAGGGCGAGCTCGAGCTCGTGCCAAAGGGAAAGGGAGCGCAAGAAGCCGCGACCCGGGTCGTGCATGCATCGCAGGAGCATGTTGTCGCCGAGGTCCCGCGCTCTTAATGACGCCGGGGCTCGGGTGGGTGCATTTGACTCTTTTCCTCACATGAGGGAGCTTCATGATTCGCGAATCAGTGGGAGGCTGCATTCGGCAATGGCGCTCCATTGGAAGAGTGGGAGATTGTGGATCGAGGCCATGGAGCGAGCGCGAAATGGGGATGACGACGTTGAGGTTGTCGTGAAGCCTGGGGCGAAGCTAGCTTAGATCCGAGCTAGGCCGAGCCTAGGCCAGCCATAACTCGGCTGTCTAGAGGCCATGTGGATCGGTCAGTCATTGGCGTTGACATCGCTTTACATGCGACATGCTCGAAATCTAGGGCAACAAGAAGTCGGCGAAGATTGGGGCCCTGGTGAGATAACTGGGAAATCTGGGCTTGGGGCGAGTAGCCATTGGGTATCAGTTTCAACGCCTGCGAGAATAATCGTTCCGTTCGGAAGACGGGGTCTTGCGAGTCAACGAATGTGCCCTCGAATGCATTCGTCGTACGAACTGCGGGGGAATTATTGAGTAGATCGCTTCACATCATCGACCTGGGTCGCTGCGATGAGAGCTTTCGCCTCTATCTATCTATCGGTGTCTGGGGATGCAGGCAACAGTAGCTCTCTCTCTCTCTCTCTCTCTCTCTCTCTCTCTCTCTCTCTCTGTTACACTCATACGTATTGCAAACCTAGCGGTTTGGCGGAAATGGCGGTCTCATGGCGTTTCTCGCCATGAAATATTCTGAGAATTGTATTCTCCTCTAAATTTGGATGTCCTTGGCCCGCAACCTGTTTCATCAGGTTGAGATCTGGTTTGAACAGATTCCAACTTTTCCTTAGAGGTTCGGAGCCAGAGGGTAAGAGACAAACGAGGGACGCGACCGATTTGCACGAATAAACGCATTCGGTCCACCTCCTTCCGAAATTTGTTCCAAGTTGTGCCTTGGATGGTTCCTCCCCCTTCTGATTCGCTCCTGGGGTAGCCTTCGCGTGCAGTAGTTCTCACGATTCGGTTAGATGCGTCTCTTCAATCCCATGACATGCTCCTGTCACGCGCGCCAGCGCAGGCAGGGTGACAACAAAGAAATGGATGCCCGCATAGTTGAAGCCAACATCTATATCAATAGATCAGTAGAAAAATCCATTCTTCAATCTAGGCACTAATCAGGTTGCACTTTTTAGACGAGGTCCGTGAGCACCACTACTCTCTTGTGTGTCGTCACATGCGCTCGTACGTAGGGCACCTCACATCTCACCTCTGTTCTAGAACAGTAGGCAAACCAGATTGTGTGTGGGGTTGAATCGATGCAGATACTCGATGCTGCTGCGCTTGACATCGTCATGTTCTCAATCATGCGTTGAGTAGAGTTTGCTGTAGCTAATTCCTGCTTGTGATATTTAATTAGATTCTTTAGACAAATCTCACCTTTTGCCCTTGGGCTGCGGATGAATCCGATGCGGGTTGTACGCAAGCGGGAGTAAGAGATGAGTAAGAGAACAAGACCTAGAGAATCAGCAGATCACCGCCACATACCAATGGGAGCTTGAAGATTGTATTGTAGTTTAGGTGAAACCTGACCTAGTGACTCGGAAGACGCCATGAGGGACATTGTTGAACATCTATATGATAGAAGAAAGAACATAATGTCAATATATCCCAAAAGGAGGCATGTCTGTACAAGTCTGAGGAATTTTTAATGATTGTCTCGATCAAGACCCAGTGCTTCAGAAGTCCATGTCCAGCTAAGAAAAATGTTTCACTTTCTGCAGGAGTCTCACGTTCAACTTGCTCTCGTGCTTAACGCAGATTAGAAATGTTAAGCCAGCTACAATTTTATGGTGATCATGGTTCGGTTGCAGGGAATTGCTTATTTTATAATCCCCCGGTACTTTCCATCTCTGACCTGAAGGTGGCAAGACCAGGATCTGTAATCAAAGCCCGACATCGATCTCTACCGACATCCGTGCCATTCATAGTTTTCTGTAATTGGTCTCCGCTTGATTCCTTCATGCAAATGCGCGTAGTGTACAACAGGCATTTGCATGTTGTACACAAGCGCACATTCTGTAGCTAAAGTATCTACTCATAGCCTGGGATTATTTCAATCCTCCAATGTACTCGTCGACCGTCTCTGTAAAGTGCAGTGGAGGCATCTTCATTCCCTCTTGAGTCTACGACACAAACTTAATATTCTCACGAGCTGCACATCCTCTTCGTGCATTGTACGATGCGAACTGTGCCTACTGCTTTCACATTTTTTCCTCGCATTCTCCAGTACAAACGACCTGGCCAACACAACTAGGCATGAAATCGAGGTCGTGCACACATAGTTCCTTTCTCCAGTTAAAGCTTGATTGTGCGAGTCTCAAAAGTCTCTCGAATCCTCTTCTATTTAAGCAAAGGTCTTTCCAGTATTGATCAACCTGTTTGAACAGAGTCCATGAAGCCATCTCCAGGAAAGTTTCATCTGTGATGACCGAGAGAATGGTGCTCTTCTCTGTACGTGAACATCTCCTCGAGCTCGAAAGAGTAGACAAATGAGTTGCTTCAGGGCGAGCCAGCTGTAGATTGCTATCCTGAATACCTGCGGACATTAGACCTAGGTGTGCATGCGATGGCCACGGTCATCAACTCCATGCACCTGTCGGCTTTTGGTGCAGATGCCTGCATCCGGCCTTCCACCATAACTCTATCTGTCGGATTTTGCTTCACGAACTATGCTTTAGTTGGTGGGGCGCTGCAACTCTTCATTCCCTTTCCTGATCGTCGTCCTCTTAGTAGGCCTATGAGCTTATCGCATCTGAAGCTGTCATCCAAAGCCCAAAGATTAAATGCAAAGATGCCTCCAGGGCTGATGCAAGCGGGCTCCACGAGCCGTCCCTGGAACCTGCAAATTGCATCCCTTCCGTTCGTCCTTCCGAAGCTAATGTGAACTCCCAAGCTCTTCTTCGAGCACAGATATATCTGGAGAGTCTCAAGCGAGAGATTTCCAGCTACGAATTTTGATCTACCGTGTAACAGTAGAGAATATGCAGAAAGTCGCAGTGAAGTGAAGAGAAGGGATGTAAAGTGAAGTGAAGCGAAGCGGAGCGCAGAATGGAATGCGTCATAAATGCGGCCATGGCAGTCATCGAAACAGTGGACCCCTGTTTACGGTTCAGTGAAGGGAAAAGGAGATTGTCCTTGACTATTGAGCTAGTGATGTGATTCGAGCTAAGCTGAGCGTCTCGGGCGATTGTATTTCAAAGTGGCATATTAAAGCAGTTCGTACGAGTCGTCGATGTGAGATAGAGGCATGAGTCATCCTCCATCACTTTTTTACGTGGACCTGCCTTTCAGAGCATGTAGGGCGTCATCATTCCTGTGGTCCAGTGCATGTGACAGCTGCCTTCTGTTTCTTCTTCTAACAATCTCCAAGCGCCGTCTTTTTATTCAAAGTGTTCTATCGCTTGCAACAGGTTCATGATGAGCTCAAAATTATATCAAGTCTAGCTAGCACTGGCATCTAAACAAAGTCTAGCATTCGGAACCTCGATGCGCTTGCTGGCTTGCTTGCAGGGGCGGGAAATCGAGGTCTCGGCCATTGCACCCCCTTCCTATCCGGCTAGGATCCGAGAAAATCGATCTCCCCACTTCCACAGGCAAGAGCGACGAGAGCAGGCACAAGATTCCTGATCCGAGATGCGAGAAAGACAAAAGCAGGAGGGCAGAATCTTGTGCCAGGAATTTACTCGTCGGATATAGGTCTCAGAGTGGAGCGAGGAGCACTGACCCAGGGTGTATCGGCCAGAGCAAAGCGCCACAGAGCAGCAACATCACGTGGTTCGGCGTAATCGATCCCCACTCGGGGGCCGACGAGCACCTTTTCTGCTTTTGGTGCATCCAAAATTTCCAATCCTCCGGGGCTGTAAAGAGGATGATTCGTCCACTCCGTCGTTAGTCCCAGAGCCTGGCCAACCTTCCCTGGCCCTGTGAGCAGCACTGGCTTCTCGGTAACCTGTCCTCTCCTGGTCTGAATGGTTTTAATTCCTGCCACCGGAGAGCATGCTCTGATAAGCACGGCTGCTCCAACATCCACACGGTCAGCCACCACATTCAGCATCACATGCATCCCGTAGCAAAGGTAGACATATGCATGCCCTGCAGGCCCGAACAAAGGTTGTGTACGAGCGGTCTTGCCCACTCGGGCGTGGCATGCGGTGTCGTTCGGTCTGTATGCCTCGACCTCAGTGATTTGCAATATGACCTCATCTCGGCGGAGGAGCTTGCCCAGAAGCATGGGGGCCAGTTCCAGAGCATCGCAGTGGAAGAAGCTTGCTTCCAACCTCCGGTAAGCATGGGAGTTACTGCTGCCGGAGGCGGGTGGATCTCCTGCATCCTCCTCGGTAGCTATGGAGGAATTCAATGCACAGCTGCTGTTGGGCTGTAACGGATCGTCGAGCTCTGAAAAGGTGGTGCGGTTGGTTGAACTCTTGGATCCAGCAGTTCGTACCTTCGTTGCATCGGCGGTCTTCGTGCTCTCAAATCGGATAGATTTTGATGAGCTTCTATCGATCCCGCCACCCACATTTAATGTCTGTGTCCTCTTGCGCGAGGAGGAGCTCACTCTTTTCCTCAAGGACTCATCCAATGCAAATTGAGATAATTGTTGTACCCTAAGCGATCTCCTCTGCTTCTCCGAGCCTGGGCTGGCAGATTCGACAGCGGATGGCGCTGCCTTCTGCCCGCTAGAATGTGATTTTGTCATTTCACCACGCTCGAGGCTTCATCTCAGCTCCATGGGATCCTCGGTGACTCGAAGTGCCACAGCCGGAGACACAATTTTCGACCAATTCAACAACTCTCGAGTTCAACCCGAGAGTCGATGCCCTACTTTTAGATTGTTGAAGCACACCATAGCCCGTCCGATTTCCTCTCATCACCACCACCGCTGCCTAAAACTCTCTGCCCAAGGAGCTAATAATTTTGGATCTCGAAGTCATTCAAAGTCAAGACTCTCTCAGTCTCTAGGGTTAAGACATTACCTCAGGCATAGCGCATTGCTCATTCGACCCAAGGCCCAATTTCCCATCATTATTGCTTCCCACCACCCGACGAGCTTCTCCGGATCGAAATCGAAATCGAACGTTCTGCTTCCCGATCGATTCCTCTCGCTCATACTCGAGTAGATGTCAGGTGAGTGATTTCATCAACTGCCAAATCTAGAAAGTATCCTCCAGCTCTCGGAGTAACTTGCTCGGATAATAGATTCTGGCGCATTTATGTCAAAAGGTGAAACGTAACAAACACAGACCTATCGAGATCATGATCGTGTTGACTTTCGACCACGCAGCGAGTCACCTGCTGAGCATGTGCAGGATGCCACATGAATCATGTGACATGATTCATGCTCGAAAGCCATGAAGCTCAATCGGCATTCAATGAAACGCTTCTCGACCGAGTAGCTGTCGCGATGCAGAGAGGTCTCTCTCTTCACGCTACTGGTCAACCACTACAGCAGGCAGGCAGGCAGGCACACAACCACCTGAAGCGACGAAAGAAATCCTCCTCGTCCCGTCGCGAGTGCTCTGCTCTGGCTCGTAGGAATGCCCGACTATCCAGCAAGATTGCAAGCATGTGGACCCGACCGAATGTCCAAGTCAACGAGTCCTCCGGAGGCATGTACGGGCCTCTCACTTCATCATCCTTCTCATCAGAGATTGCGCTTCTATCCGAACTATCTCCGTTAACCTCTACTTATTCAGCGCAATCTCCATGACGACATCTGGTCTCCTGCCTCATCCTGCACATGTATCTCCCGCTATGAAGCTCGTCACGCTTTCTTCTCCCCTTCGTCTGTGGCTGCCTCCGAGTGTCCTCCGCTACGAGAAAAAGTGGATTAGGGTATCGAGCGGTAATCATCGCCTATCGCTTTGTCCAATGTCGTGGAAGAGATTGTCCCGACGAGACGACGAGACGACGAGACGAGACGAGACGAGACTAGACGTCGAGGCTCGAATCGAGTTCAGAAATGATTGTGTTGGAGTGGACAGCTTTGTCTCTCTCGCATGAGGAAGGATTTTTTCATGAAGTAGCCACTCGTGACGAACAAAGATCCAACATGTGGATCTGCAAACTCTAAATAGCTCACACGTTTGCTGCACCCATGTCTCGATCACATTAAAACGGCTCATCAATTTTCTAACCCATCGGTGGCTGGTGTGTTGTGACGAGCTAAAATCATGGTTTCTGCTCATCATCCAAGTCCCTGGTCGAAAGATTTAGATGACACGTGAGCTTGGTCGTCATGATTCGAGTAGACCAAGGCTGAAAACCTAGCTTTCCTTTTTGGGGACGATAAGTCAATACGTGACCTTGGGCCCCAAGCTCTGGATATGAATTTCTCCCTTCAGATCGTAATGCCTGACGCGTGACCTCGGACAGCTCTGACATGACAACTATGTGGCCACTCGAATTTTCAAATCTACAGCAGACGATATTTCCAAGATACGAGGGGAAGCGAAAGGAATTGATTTCGTAGAGGAATGATGCCGCTGGTTGTTGGAAATGCACGAGTTTCGGAGAAGATATGTGGATGGTGAGACCAGCACTCGGCTCCGTGCGTCTTTCTGCAGAGTTCGCATGCCACAAACACATCAGTTCCACTGACAGGTCGTACATCGTGCATGCTGTCAACACGCCAAGCTGACGACCGACATGCGCTGAATTTTTGGCTGCGATTTTTTCCTCGTTGAAGTGGTCTGGGATCCTGAATACCATAGCTTCTAAAACGATATATGTATAAATGTGCCAGATGACAGAGTGAATGAAGATATATATATATATATATATATATATTTATATTTATATTTAAATGTATCTTGCAATCAATTTGTCTTCCTGTCGTGGCAATCATATCCCTCGTACCAAGTTTATGGTTTCCACGGCTGTAGCTTTTCGCAGTTCGTTCCGACCTCGTTCATGGCTCCAGGTCCGTCGTGAACTCAAAAGTGTCGATCAATCATCGTTTGATTCAATGTGTCATGACTCATGAGTGATGAATGACTCGAGATGACACGAGTGCTGATGTTCGGAGCCGTAATTGGGAGTTGAATTACAGTGATCTGGATCGAGTGAAATCCACCGAGTCAGCTTTGAGTGGGGGCCCAAGTGTCGGGATTGCAAATCCCTCTGTGTGGCCGGAGCATCGGGATGGTGGTGGGTTTACGAAAAAGTGTCGATCGGCATATCATGTTCCGTGGGGGGCATTTGACAAGAAGGTTGATCGCATATTCTAGCTGGCTCTCTCAGCCATCAAATCAACCTTATTTGTGTAAGTCCAAAACATGAGAAGAACTGCTGTAAAGCCACAAAAGCCATTCGTGCACTACAGGGAACCTCTCGGAAGAACCACACCTGCCTGCCTATTGATGAGGTGACGTTCCGGTAAATAATTTCTAATCTCAGAACATGACATTCCCTTGTGGATGGTTTCACTCCATGATGTTCTCTCTGCATAGGGAACTGCTGTCAAGACACCTTCTCTTCAGCAGCTTTCCTTGAAACACCAACACGAAAACCTTATACAAAGTTCGACTGTGCCGCCATGATCAGCATAGCCGAATATGTACGTTCTGTGTAACTCTTCATCAATATGGACATTTCTCAGATTCTCATTACTTATGGAAACCAATGCATTTCTTCAGCTTTCGCATTTCTACCGTTAGAAGATCAGAGAAGAAGAATCAGAAACCAATTCTCTTCTGCTGCTCAGAACTAACTCCTCGAGAATCTGATACCGTCCAGGAGTATCTAGCAGGATGGTACAAATAGCAGTAGGCTGAAGAACATCCGAACGAGGCAGACGATGATAAGATTTCTCAAGAGACGTCATTCTTCCGAATGCTCGGTAGAGATCTCTTTCCAAACTCAGTCGCATCACAATGGAATCGTTGCCTCATTTAATTCCCTGATGCGCTTTTTTCTTCGTATCGGTGCACTGACAGACATCTGATCAGTATTCTCTTTGAATCTCGCATGAAGACAATATAATAATATTGTCTTATTATAATGAATGGAGACATTATTTCCATCAGACAGTCAAAGAGAAATCCATATCTTTGGAACGATATGAATTCCATCCATTCACAGGTATAACTGTTTCCAAAGTGAAGTACTGATGGAAGGTGCAAAGCCCTGCACCTTGCGCACTATATTGAGATGGCTCTGTGCTGGGTCCTCTCCCAGCCATAAGTTTTTCTTCTTCTTTCATCGATCTGAAAGTGCTCTGATATTGCTCTCGTATATTCACTTGTGCGAGCATATGTTTCTTTTCTGTACTTTAGATTCAACCAGATCTAAGTGGGGCACGCTGCATGCCACTCTCTTCCCACTTTGCTTGTGGTTCTAAGTCTCTGCTGACAACAACAAACGGGAAGCAAGCGTGTCCCTGGAGAAAACCGGGCACATGTGGTGGCGAAGTCGATAACATGTGACAAAAGGTGACATGACTAGAAAGTCGAATGGAATCAAATATGGCAGAATATCTCGCGGTCAGTGAGCTGCATGTAAAGAAAACCTGGATACTCTGCGATGAGGTAAGCTAGAGGAAGCGATTCATGGATCAGAGCTGAACTCAGACCTGTGGCAGGTTTGTTGACACTTTACACTTTGCCTTCTATGAATTCTGAGACCTTCAGATTATGAACAAAGAAAAAGGCTAGCTTTCCACTAGAAAGAACTCGCGACAATTAAATTGGAGGCAATCTTACGTCAGTCCACGATCACGTAGTTTGTGTATCTTTCATCATTACAAACTACTTGAATTCGGTTTTTTTCCACCACAATTTCTATACTTCCTCCGTTATGTACTTAGTACCGGGATTGATTGATAGATTAGGAGCGGTCGGTCCGACATTCTCCTCCACGTAAAGAAGCTGGGCCCTTATGCGTGCAAAAGAGGTATGAATTCATCATTGTGAAATAAATTGTTTTGAGTGTGGTGCCCCTCAAAGATGAAGACTCACACCCTCATATCCTCAGACTGTGGATCTGATCCGATCTGATCTAGAAGTGAATATGCTGAACTCGTCGGCTAAATTCCTGTTTGATTCGAAACTCGTCTGTCATTGAGTTTCGAAGAGTTCGGGGGCAGAGGCTTTAGACGGGGTCTTTGTCATGTTCTGCTTCTTCGGGAAGTGCCGAAGGTCAACTCTACCACGCTTCTCCCACACTGACTGCGTGACATGAAACTGTGCGCAGAGCCAACGTGGTAACAGGTAGCTGTGGTAACAGGTAGCTGTGCCTAACCAATATACAGGGCAGACATTCCGTATTCATCTCGTATTCGGGTACATTTCGTACATTCGAACAGAAAAGAAGATTTGACGACAATAATTACGTGCAAGTCTGATCATCATACTCCCAATGCTCGAGACATAAAAAGCTCTCGCACGTTCATCCGAGACTCCATAGGTCTCGTATACACTGCCCTTTTGTATTTTAAATTGCAGTTATTGTATCAAATGGGATCATTCGGACGGAATATAATCTATTCCATCCGAATTCCATGCGTGTACGTTCTAAATATATGTCCCTTCTGTATTTTGCATTGGCTGTATATTTCCCATGGCGTCCCCTTTATCATTCTTTTAGACACATATGACTTTCTAGAGCTCGTCTGGTCTGGTAAAAATGCTTTAGGGAAAAGATTAGTTGAAGCTCAAATAAGCCTTCAAGCTCTGCTAATACTAGGGGGACTAGTGGTTTGGAGCACGCAAGTGTGTGCACCGATCGATGGAAAGTTCAAGCTTCTAAGTCTGTGAGTGGAAAGAGACGGAGGTTGATCACCAGCAAACACTAGAAATGAAATTTTGCCTCCATTTGGAAAGTCCTGTCTAATTTTTGGGCTGTATGGGGCGACGTGCAAGAATCGATGCACACATACGTATCCCTGCATTTTAACTAATGACCAGTCAGTTGATGAGTAAAGGCTTTTTGGAGATGGCTAGATGGGTTGTCTCTTAAAAGACGAGGAGAACCACACTCTCCATATTTACAGAGCGAAAGTGAAGTTCTTGAGAGACAACGTTTGCTCGAGTTTCATGTGTGTGATATAATTCATGGTTTTTTCCTCATTCTCTCTTTCAGAAGAGGTCTCAAGGAGAGAAAAGGTACAACATCATGAATCTAGTACCTTGTTCATAATTCCACCGTGGAAGTGTGCAAGTGGACCGAAGCAGTCATTTTTGTTTTCAGCCAGGGTAGAAAACAAGTTTGAAAGTTTGATATGATGAAGTAAACTATGTTGACAATTCTGATTATATATTTTTTTCAAACATCTATTGGAGTTGGTTATCTCTTAGGAAGTGCAAAATAAAATATATGAATACTTTTTAACCCAACATTATTTGATAAGAGTATGAAAAAGTTACTCGATGCTACAGTTGAAATGAAACATTTTTCTAAAACTAAAATGTCTCAACTTTATGTATCTTTAGTACAAAGAAACTTGGACTTGCAAACATATTGTTAGGCAAAAAATCTTACAATAAATATGAGTAGAGACAAGCAAAGAAATTGTCGGCATTCACAATTATAACATAGTTTGCCTATGTCACCGACGTATGAAGTAAATTGCCAAAACCTTCATCAATGGTTTAATGGTTTAGGAGTTTAGGGTTCCCCCGACATTAGTTATCGCTAACAATCTCCTACTTAATACAAGTCGGAGGTAGAAAACCTCGTTAACCTATATAATTATTCGGCAAGAAGTCATAGAAGTAAATCTAACAAAAGATATCTCTTTAAACTAGACCTAACTAGAACTAAATTGTATTAAAACATGATGAAGTAAAAATATATAGAGTTAACTAGGAAACTTTACTTGTGCTTCTAATGCAAAACCTGCATAATAGAACAATATCTCCTAAAACTTTTCAAAGGAATAACTTTTGTCAACTCATCAATCGGATAGAATTTACCGTCAATCTTAACTAACTTAATATTTTTATCAAAAACTACATGCTTGATAAAGTGATACTTGATTTCAATGTGCTTCATTTTGATGTGTATCATTTAATTTGCAACAAGATGCAATGCAATCTTGCTATCACAATGAAGATTGACAACCACTTGTTTCAATTCCATCTCAATGATAAGTTTATATAATCAAATAGTTTTCTTTGATGCTTTTGCTATTGTTAGATACCTAGTTTTTGTTCTAGATTGAGTTACACAATTCTGCAAGATAGATTACCAACTTATGCATCCACCATCAAATGTAAACACATATAAATTTTTTAGTGTTCAAATCTTGTCCATAGTCAGTCTCAACAAAGCCTAATAAAGATTGGACATTGTTCACTAAACCATCAAACAATAAATCAAATTTCTAAGTATTTTTCAAATACAGTAGAACCTTTATAAATTTATACTCCATAAATTTATAACCTCCGAAAATTTATCAAATTGTGCGGTCCCGGCATGGGACCAGGCCAAAAATTTATAATCTTATAACTTATCAAGTTTTGGCTGCCCCGAATTTTTTATAAACTTATATTCAGGTTGATGTGCTTTCCGAGCTACATTTGTACGACTATGATCGACTAAAGAAACTTGTAATGGTTGTTTGCCTAAGCTTTTGTTCACATTTGTTTATTGGCTAAGAAACTTGTAATGGTTGTTTGCCTAAGCTTTTGTTCACATTTGTTTATTGGCTGCTTAAGTATCTGACGTGGGTTAGGGATATTCCTGGGTTAAGTTGTTTACATTTTGAGAAGTTTTCTTATACTGTATACAGTACGCCATGATACAGTGCCCTACACACCCCATTACAATACCACAGCTAATACACACGGAACCTGGGTATCAAACAACTTCTATGTCTTTTCGAGGTCATGCATTCCTTGCCGTAACCTTCCTAACCTACCATACCTTTCTGCAACCTTTCTGCAACCGGATGGTTCTGAGACCAATCAAGCAAAATTAAAAGAATCAATTTTAATAAACTCTAGAAACTTATCACCTCTATAAACTTATCAAAAAGTGCTAGTCCCAGCTTGATAAGATTATAGAGGTTCTACTGTACTTGAAATTTTATTTCAGTGTTTTCAGTGAAAAATCCTTGGATTTGACATGCCCTTGCTCACGTTGTCCATCGTTAGGACAATATTAGGAGGTGAGAATCTTCAAAGCTAGTCTTGTGGCTAGAGTATTCACACAACAGAATGATGCGGACTACAACAAAGTTTTTTCGCCTGTAGCTAAGTATGATACAATTCGTCTGGTATGTGCACTGGCCGTGATATTTGGTCTTGTTATGGATCAGATGGATGTGATTACGACCAGTCTCTATGGATATTTAGAGGAGTAGATCTACATGAGACAATCGGTTGGCTTTGAGGTCAAAGACAAAGAGAGGTTGATTTGTAGATTGTTGAAATCATTGTATAGATTGAAGTAAGTTCATAGGTAGTGGAACACGCGATTTGATGAGTTCATGAAGGCACAAGGTTTTTTACGGAGCTTGTATGATCCTTATGTGTACATGAAGAAGTTAAATGATGAGATGTTCAATTTCATCATTCTAGTACTCTACGTTGACGACATGCTCATATTGGCAAAAAACCAATCCAATGTTGATGAATGCAAAAGTAAGTTGAAGTCTGCATTTAAGTTGAAGTATATGGAAGAGTCATAGAAAATATTAGACATGAAGATTCATATGGATCTTGAATAGAAGAGGCTATGCTTGAGTTAGAGCAAGTATGTTCATCGTATACTTGATAGGTTCAACATGGTCGATTTCAAAGAAATATGAACTCCTTTGGCATCACATTTTAAACTCTCCGCAACTCAATGTCTAAACGATGCTATGGAAAAAGTAAGAATGTCATGTGTTCTCTATGAACAAGCCGTAAGCAATCTCATGTATTTGATGGCGTGCACTAGGCCGGACATTTCCTTAGCGATGGATAAGGTGAGCAGGTACATGTCGAATCTAGGGAAAGTTCATTGGGAAGTAGTGAAATGAATTATGAGATATTTGAAGAGTACTTTGGATTATGGTTACTGTTTGATGGTCTATTATACAATGTCAAATCCTTGTTTGATTATGTTGATGCTTATTACGGACAAGATCTAGATAAAAGGAAATCTACAACTGGATATATGTTTACACTTGACGATGGAAGCATTAGTTGAAAGTCTACTTTGCAGAAATGCGTAATTTAGTCAACAACAAAAACTAAGTATGTGGTAGCAACAAAAGCGGCAAAGAAAACTATTTGGTTGGACAGGTTTGTCATGGAAGTGAGATTGAAGCAGAGTGTGATTAATCTTCATTGTGATAGCGAGAGTGCTTTACATTTGGCTGTGAATCAGATCATGGATAGTAGAGTGAAACACATCGATATCAAGTATCATTTTATTAAACAAGCAGTGTTTGATGAAACAATTGAGCTAGTCAAGATGGATGATAAACTCAATCCAACTAATGTTTAGATCATAGTTATTCCTTTGAAGAGTTTAAGGCGACAAAATGCTACCATGTAGGTTGTGCATGGGGAGCAAATATAAACTTTGCTGGCATATTAACTTCAGTTTTTTTTTTATATATAGACTCTATCATGTGATGGCTACGATTTAGTTCTAGTTAATTCTTGTGTAAAGAGATAGTTTTTATTAAATTTACTTCTAGATTTTCACGCGGAGTAATTATATATATTACAAGATTCTTCATACTTCTATGCAAGCAGGTTTTGCTAGTTACCTCTTTATATTAAAACTCTATACTGTTATGACTACGATTTAATTTTAGTTATTTCTTATGTAAAGAGTGGCCTTGTGTTAGATTTCTGTCTAAAACTTCCCACTAAACAATAATATAGTTTACAAAGGTAACTATTTTTTAAACCCGAGTTAAGGGGTAGATTGTTGAGGTTAACTCTGGTTAAAGAGTAAACTCATGTTATAGCTATTTATAGTTAGGTGCGTTGTTCGCTTTGGGTATAAATATACCCTAAGGGTTTCTACTCTTACGTGGGCTTTGTATATTCAGTTGTGAGTAAAACCTCAATGTTCTAGCTGTGGACGTAACCTTTGAGGGTGAACCACGTTATATGATTGTTGAGGTTAACTCTGGTTAAGGAGTAAACTCATGTTATAGCTATTTATAGCTAGGTGTGTCGTTCGCTTTGGGTATAAATATACCCTTAGGGCTTGTACTCGGACGCGTGCTTTGTGTATTCAGTCGTGAGTAAAACCTTCTCATTGTTCCAGCCATGGACGTAACACTTGAGGGTGAACCATGTTATATGAATGTCTTGTGTCTTCGTACTTGACTTGAATGACTCTTGATTTTATGTTAAGAAAAAATTTCATAATAATACACAACATTTGATCAAGATTTTGAAAAAAAAATCTATAAGTTTAAACAAGTGTGCAATATTTTCAAATACTATTTCACCAAAATATATAATAATTCAAGTACAATATATATATATATATATATATATATATGAAATTTTGAACATACACACATCAAGTATATTTATCTTTTGGCACAATTTTACTAAGCTAATAGATTATGTTTAAAAAATATCGGCTGCAATCATATATATATACTGTCATGCATATAATGCAAATTACTATATATACAATAACATAACATGTTTTATTGTTATCTTAAGTATAAACATAACATGGTTACTTTTGTATACATAAAAATGTATATAGTGAGATCTTACTTTTGATTTATAAGGTGATACATTATCCATGAGTACAAAGATTACCTCTGAATGCAAATTATATCCCTAGATGTATATAACTTTTGAACACTTTTCTCAATATTGACTGCTTTTTTAATTTTTTTTGCATGTCATGCACATTATGACAACTTTATAGAATAAATTACCGGCTAATAGCACAACCATCAATGTCATACATTAGATATGCTATATTCCAAAATCAATCATCAGCACTGCAGCTAAATGTAATTAATCTGTGTATGCACTGTAATCTATGCGAGCTTATTGAACTAATTTAGATGCTCTTCTTGATGTAAAGGAGGATAATATTTAGTCAAGAGGATAAAATTTTCCCTTTTGTACGCATAGTTCATTTATGTCGTGACAAATTGCAAGTTGTTGTTGATGCAATGAAGAGAAGATTTTACATATCACAAATGCGTCGTCTCATATTTAAGGATTCCCTGGCAACTCAATCTTAAAATAACAATACGATCAAAACAGTGATCATTAATGTTGTAGTGATCACTGCAGGGTTAAAAATCAGGATTAAAAACACTGATCACTAAGTCAATGGGCGTGCATTCCTCCTCTCGACGCAGCTGCACAGCTGTCAAGCATGAGTCTGCATGCGAAGCTGACGATCAGAGTGTCTGCAGTATGACATATATCCGATGCGCCTGACTTATGGGAGTATGCTGTTCAATGGGAGTTTGCTGTTCTACGACAAACATCGTTTGGGCAACCAGCTTTTTGGGGTGAGTGAAGTGCCAGCTGTGATGTGATTCGATGTGAAGTGAAGTGAAGTGAAGTGTTAGCCGAGGCAGTTCAGTTGGTTCCAGTTCGGATTGTAGATTGTAGACGACAGGTTGTGTCACCGCCCGTTGGGTTCAATACGTTTGGACTGCTCTGCTCTAAATGACAAAACTGCAGATGAAATTCTCTATCTGCTTTATTGGACCTTGTAGCAGTTGAAATGGCTGCAGAATAAATGACGTGCCTACTGTGAAGGTAAGGGAAGTGGGTGCTTTAATTTCCCAGATCAGATGAGAAGATCATGCTTGGGGTTTGTGTCGACACTGTTGTGGTAAAAGAAGTGACTTCCGAGTTCTCAGGAGTGTAAGCTGCTACTGCAATTCGGAACTCCCTTTGTCCACTGATCGTTTGATTAATATTGATTGCCAAGTTGTTGGTCAATGAGCAGGGCCAGTGAAACGTATTTAAAGATTCAGCTGGTAAAGCCGGAGAAGCAACCGAAGATAGGCACGTCAATGCCAAACGGCCAGCAAAAATTTACCGGTTTGTCATGAGATTATCGCGCTTGAAACTTTTCAGCTAGAAAATCGTTTGCGCTTTTTCTTTTGCTTTACATGATCTTCGAATCGACTTGACCTAAAGAGAAATGGCATTCCACGTTCAAAGATCTGTATGACAGGAAGAACAAAATTTGATGTAGGAACCAGTAATTATCTTAATCTCGTATTTCGAGATTAAGATAATCACTGGTTGGCATTAAGTCTTGACGAGACACCACATGTATTTCCGCTCTCCTTCATTAGATTGACTTTACTGTGCAGTTTTTCAGTAAATTTTAATCTTCAAAGACTGCTCCATCTGCTGAATTACTTGATTTCAGAGGCCTCAACGATGGAAGGGGTTCCAATGGTCCATACACTTGCATCTGACTTTAGATGATTTCACCTCAAAAACTGAAAGACTGCATGTATCTGGCACATAGTTTCACTGTAAGTAGAAGTCATTCAGCACGGAATGCCGTAAGTATCCAAATCGCAGTTCCTGCCGCAGATAGCGAAATCAGGGATAGTTTATCGACTAAAACTGAAATGTGAAAATACTGTTGGAGAATCCTTTCATTTCATGGTATGCAGACTGACAACACCGACACCTAGTGCGTCAGTGAAGGAGGATACTTCACCCAATTTTACCTTTGTTACGCAAATTTTGCTTCAGTAGCTTCAAATATGAATCTGCTGAGCGGATGCAAGTCATCGCAGGTTCACTTGCTACTAGTCATGGCTCAGTTGAAAGAGTTGCAGGTTTACTTGAGCCATCAAGTGACCAGGTGAACCTGGGACGATCTGAACATACCAATTGCCAATGGTGGCAGGTTTATTTATCCTTTCCAATGCATAAGACAAGCATCAATTGATAGACTAACTTTACTGCATGTGTATGTGCAAACCGTCAGGCTGTGGGGTTGCGGAAGTATGGGTCAGAAAATGGTGAGGGAGGAATGCCAAGGCAAGAATGTCGTGGAAACAGGAGTGGACCGACTTTTAGCATCTCACTTCGGAGTTTTACAAAACGCCAAGGTCCTTCTGAGTTGTTGAGATTTCATGCAACAGCCTGCCTGTTTCCTCTTGTAACATCAGACCTGTGACAGAAGTGCAGATAAGGCTATACTTTATGTGTAATTCAACGATAGCGTTTCCTGCTCTTACCACAGTATCATGTGTGATCTAAGGTCGGAGTTATCACGAATGCGAGTGGCGTTTTCCAGAATCTTAAACACTTGGTAACTCTCTAAGTTTGAGGTCACATCATCACCGTATTTACTGTATTAGTGAAGTATCAGAACATGCTGGTAATCCGGAAGCCTCGACTTGACGGGATCTTGTTCAATACATAGGTGGATGTGCTTCATGAAGCTCCAGAAGTTGACCTTGTCGCCATATTTGGACCTGAACATGGTTTCAGGAGTGCTTCGCAGGTACGTGAACTGCGTTTTCTATCAATTACACTGAGGCTAACGCAATCATTTGCGTTTTATACATGTCTTGTAATGCAGATGTATAGAAGACCACTCCATAGTTTGAAAAATCTGCATTGGTCTTCTGAATCTGCCAATTCAAAGCTGTCTGACATAAGACTAAGTATTGTTGATTTTGGAAATCCGATGGTGCACTTGTCCTACTGCTTACAGTACATCAGTTGCCGTGCTTTTGACTCTCACGTTACATGAAATCTATCACAGGCAGGTTCTTCAGAGACCTTTTACATCGATCCAAGAACAAAGTTGCCGGTGTATGATACGTACCTGAAGGTGAATGACCCTCATATATATGCCCACCATTCGTGAATGTTTGAAGCTAGAAGAATGAAGTGTAGGTTATTTCTTCCCGTTGATTTCTTCGGAGGATCACAAACCACGTAAAAATTTACGTGGTTTGTGATCCCCTGAAGCTGTAAGTCCTCAGGTAGTTTCGGCACAGAAGGAAAACTGAAAATAGCTACCGATGCACTCACATTCGAGCAGAAATGTGTGTGCATGAGTATGAATTCAAGGAAACTTGAACTTCCTTACTGTCGGAATGTGAAATATATTTGTTGCTAATATATGCTTGTGTCCTCAGAGTGGCAAAAGTTTATCTGACATATTTGAGAAAGCTGGAGTAGATATTCTTCTCTTTGATATCCAAGATGTCGGGGTATGTACAACAATCATCAACAAGTGATGGCCGTCTTTTTTTCCTTGGAACATGTAGAACAAATATATTTATTAAACTGATGAAGGTAAACTTCTGAGTTTATGTCCGTATGTACATATACAGGCCCGGTTCTTTACATATATATGGACTATGTACGACTGCATGGTGGCAGCAGCTGCTTCCACGCAGCCCATCAAGTTTGTTGTACTTGATCGGCCAAATCCAGTTGGAGGCACTATCCTTGATGGTCCTCTTATGAAGCCGGCATTTTCTTCTTTCGTCGGTAGAAAGGTAAAAGTTTCTTGTCTGTTCCAAGTCGCAAGCCTGAAGTACATAATTAGGAATCTTCTTTTGGAAAAGGTCGAGGTCATGTCGAGGAGAACTATCTTCGAGAATTTGACGTTGGCGTGTGCATTGCTTTCAGTGAGCCACAATTACATAAAAAGTTTGATAAAACGATGACATCTCATGTGACGTCTTAGATTTCTGTTCCATATCAGGCGATCCCTTTGCGACATGCGATGACAGTCGGTGAACTGGCAATGCTCTTCAATGCTGAGTACCTTCCAAGTGATTCCACAAAGCAGGTAAGATAGATACAATCATCTTGTTGCTAGAATGTTCGTGCAGATCAAGTTTTTGTCCGAGAGGCATTCTTGGTCCATCCCATCAAACAGAATGAAGGATGCAGATTCTGCATGGTCACTAGAGTCCACTGCAACCCACGTCAGGTCTCGCAATCGAGTACGAGCTTCACATGTTGCATTTCAGCGGTTTATGTCCACCTTGACGCTCTTTCATTCTGAGATTAAACCTGTTCCCGCCATGAAGGTTGAGCAATGAAATTAAGAACACAGAGGTATCAGCAGGTTGACCTTGAAGTGGTTGCGATGAATGGCTGGAATCGGAGCATGTACTTCAGAGACACTGGCCTCTTATGGGTTCCTCCTTCCCCTAACATTCCGTCCTCTGAGACATGCCTATTCTACTTAGGCATGGCTCTCTTCGAAGTAAGTTCTCTCGTACTATCCTCCGTCTTCTATCTTCGGGAGTTTAGGAAGGAGGCCGTTGTCTTGTACCACCTTTTTATGATTCAGAGATATTTCTGTCCCAGTAGTAAAACTCGGAACTTGTCTCAGGGATCGAACTGCTCTGAAGGACGGGGTACCGCACTTCCATTTCAGATGGTGAGTTTGACAGCTGACTAGTATCTGGAATATATGAATTTCTCTTCGCTGCGAAGTTTTGAAGGTAGAGTGATAAGATTTGATCTGTTATGCAAGAAACAGATTGGAGCATCATGGATCGATTATCACTTAGTGGAGCATTTGCAGCAACATGACTGTCCAGGCGTTCTGTTTCGAGAAGCTTGCTTTACTCCATCATCCAGCAAGTTTGCTGGTGAGACGATCGACGGCCTTCAGGTGAGTCCCTTAAGAATCTTCTAAGTATCTCGCTTGTGCCGATGGAATATAGGTGTTGCACTCTTGTCTGTCATAAGACGCTCCTCATACTGATCGCAGTTGTCTGCCTGAGGCAGGTACACATTACTGATGCAGAGTTGTTCAACCCAATTCGCACTGCGCTGACCATACTTTCTTCTTTACTCAAACTTTATCCAAAGCACTTCCAGTGGCGAGTAGATGGTTCAGTGCATTGGGTGGATATGTTACTGGGCACTAACAGCATACGGGAAGGCATCAATAGAGGAGAATCAGTAGATGAGTTGATGGCGAGTTGGCAAGATGATGTCATGTGGTTCGATGTCATGCGACGAAAGTATCTGATATATGTGTAGCATACTGTAGACTTGCTCACTCCGACGTTGTGGGCTTCTTGTTAACATCGCTGATCAAGAAGGCGGCCTGTCATAGCCTCTGTGCTATCCTTTTCTTGAACAAAGGAGAAATTACAGAAAATATTCTAGCATAAAGGTTCGTGAGAGTCCGATGGCCTATGTACAGGTCCACCATTCCCGACAGCAGGACTGGCCCATACCTCTACCTTCTGTGTCTTGTTTACTCGGCCCAAAGAGGGAAAAAGTTATCGAAGGTGAAGACTGTAAATGTTAGACCATTCTCTGGGACAAGGAATGAACTCCTGACCAGGATTAAGTATAGACGTAGACTGAAGTCTATTGGTACGTTGAAAACACTGTCAACATACTCGGGTGTATCCTTGGAGGTTAAATTGCTCTTACTATGGAGCGTATCTTGCACAGGCTGGCTGACCTCTGTCTTCATTGGTGCTACATAATGTTATTTTCCAAAGTGAATATTCTGCCTGAAAACGCAAGGGCTAGACTGGAACAGGAATGTTATCTACGGTGAGGAAGATGAGTACCTGTCTACTTGGAACATCCCATGCACAAACTACTCTTCGTGCACAGTTTGGTTCACTGACATCTTTCAACCTGGATGATATTCCTTCACTGTTGCATGAAACGTCCTGTATCTTCTAGCTGCTTTAGATAAAGATGACGAATATTCTTTGATATATAATGTAATGTCACCTGCAACTTGAACAGTTCAACTGGGTTCAAGTTCCAAGTGACAAAGCAGGTGATTTCAACAACGAAGAATTTGGCTCAGCCGTTGCTCGGAAAATTGGATTGAGACTCCAATGTGTGACAATTGCTTGTATATTTATCACTGTGCAAATCCGAATCTCGGTCCACATTTCTTACAGATGAATCAGGTGAATGCTTCCAGAATTTAATGCTTCCGTACGGCCTACACGATGTCTAAACTTCCCATTCTGTTCCTAGATATCCACCACGTCCAATTTACAGATATATTTTGGAATGAGATTCACTATTTACAACAACTTTCCGCGAATGCACCTTTATTCTAGTGCTTTTGCCATGACTTCCCGGAACGCGCACTGCTGCTCATACAGTGACTTGAATATCTCATACTTGGCGTCATGATACTTTTTAATCTTTATATCTTTGGAAGGCTGTACCACCTGCGCATTGATGATCACATATGATCAGGTCTCAGGCTCATATAAATAGCTCTTACAAGACGATCACTTTTACAAGACAGGTTCACAAGGCTGGAAGACATTTGGATATGGTCAGTGGTTCTGAATTCTCTTCCGAGCCTTCTATGCTTGTAATCCTGTGAACTTAACATACACTCCTAACGCCATCCAGACGGCCTGCCCATATGTCACCGTGTTTTTAGTAATATAGGATCTCCTCATGGATAGATGACCATTCAACGCATCAGCACAAAATCAACATAACAAAAAACATGAGTCTTGGCTTACCAATCCTGGCGCGTTCAAAGCGATCATTGCTGAATCGATGCTCACGTACTTTTTGGCTGCCACAGCTCCAATGATCGCACCGCCTAGCAACACGCACTCTGTTTCTCTCGGTAGTGTAACTGGACATCCTGTGTAAGCATTTCCAGTAAGCAACTCGAACTTCAACAGCTTGTTCAGCTCTCAGACAAGGCCTTCAAGAGCATGAGAGAGGTAGAGTTTTTCGGATACTGACCCAGTATGTCAGCGTGCTCTTGAAGATAGACCCTATTCTTTGAGAGACCTCCACAAGCAATAAACGTGTCAACCTGCACTCACACAGAATGACAGAGAGATACCGATTAAAATCAGCTGCTGGGGAACACCTCCTGCTGTGTTCGCCAAAACTTCAAAGTTGATTCGTCCATGGTTGATAGTTTTCTAACCAGATTAACTTCAGTTCAGATGTTAAGAGGAGCAGCAAACATTACCTTCAACCCATGTGCTGCCAGGTGTTCAACAATCTGGCGAGTGCCGTAGGCGATGCTTTGTAGAGCGGCTAGGTAAAGTAGTGCGACACCGACTTCACTTGAATCCAGTGTCATTCCACTTACCATACCTTTGGACCTCGGATCGGCCTTCGGTGATCTGCACGGTCGGTGTACTGTCAGTCAGCAGAGTACTTCGAGAAGACTGGCAACAGTGTACAGCCGGCAATCAAGCCTGTACAGGTCATCGCTTCCACTTAACTAAAACATTCTATGAAAAAGGAATGGAATCTACTTGGCAACTGAAGAGCTCAGCAAAGTCATGTCACCTGTTCCCATGGAAATCTGGAAGGACGTGCAGCTCTTTAGTCAGAGCACTTCGGTGAGGTACTGACGCATCATTGGCGAGATTATCCAAGATGTTGTTCAGGACTTCGTAGATTGATATCTCTGTAGCCACGCAAATCATGCGTAGGTATTAATCTCGGGCAAGAGCACCAATAAAACGAATCAAAGCGTGTGTTGAGAACATGCGAGAGAGATTTTAACATTTATAAAATTGAAAAGCTCTCCGTTCTACTGAAGCCAGGGTTTCAGAGCCGAGGGTCAGAGAAGTCAACTGACTCTGTAATACGGCACGGTTGCCAAGCAGAGGTGCAATCGCATGATCCTCAACCAAATGTTCCAACAAGCCTCCTGTGGCACTTTGGCCCCCTTCAATCAGCCAATACTGAGGAATCATGGCTGCAACAAAAGCAAGTGAATCATGAGAATCTGCTGGTTTGATCTCGGAAAGTTTATGTTACTTCACAATTATCCTGGCACTACATGCCATCACTGTATACAATGTCTCAGAGTGAAGCCCAAATATATCTAGCCTGAGGCCTACAAAATCTGTAGTATGTCTAAGGTTTAATAGAAAGTACACAGTCTATCAAGCTGACAATAATCACCTGATTTACTGTATAACTCACTTACGCCTTCCGTCCATTTCTTCGATACCAAATTTCAAAGCTATGCAGTTAATCACACCAAAACCAACTATGCATTCATATGCTAACAAGCTGTACTAGAAGATTATTGCTCTACAGGTCGTCTGCACATGATAGCGGAGAGTGCTACTGAGGCAAGAAAGACTTCATGAGAAGAGGCAAAAGAAGCATTTTGAGAGTACCGGACCAGTATGGTCCCCAAACTCCAGGAATAAAAAGCTTCTCTTTAGTTACAGCCATGTGACAAGTGGAAGTCCCGCAGACAAGCACCATTCTGTTGCTCAGCTCGTCCTCTTCCACCACTTCCCCAGCATCAGGTTTCTCTGCCATCCACAAGTTTAGATTTGCAGTCTAATAAGAAATTTTTCTTAAAGAAGCTTTCGACCTCCGAGTCCTACAGTTTGTTCTAGTATACTCAAAGTACAAGCCTCTGGAGGCTTCTAGGATTATCTGAAAATATATTGAAAATATTTTCACCTTCAGCTTGAGGATGAACAAGTTCTCTTGGAACACTTTGTAAAACTCCAATTCCACCAGCATGGGCATCAATCACTGATGTACCAACTGGAGTACCTTCAAGCAGACCTAGTTCCTACACGACAAAAAATTCAACGTGGTCTTCAATAAATACATCATTTAATTCAAAAGCCTTTACAATTACACACTCAAAAGACAAAGAACATCCCGATATGATAAAGTGAACTGTTGTTACCGATAATAGTGTCCACGAAACTACAACATTATCACCTCAACTTGGTGATTCTCGAAGCTATCCTAAAAGCAACATGGGAAGATCAAAGGTTTCTTGCCTGTGCAGACAGAGGCGTGAGACCAACTCCCAGCGGGTGTCCAGGTAATGCTACACTCCTCCCTAAGAGAAAAGAAAGCAGAGGAATGAGAGCGCAGTTTACCATCATTTGATTTCTTACAACAATAGCGCATAAACAGATTGTCAGATTGACTACGAAACCGAGACATAGGAGCCGCTTTCATTCGGGAATTCATGAGACATCCCGAGAGGAAGATATTTACTACAGAAGGGTGACAAATAATCAGCCAATCCGTTCACTCGAGGGGAGTGACTTACCAATCTTGGCATACTGGCCATCGACGAGGTCACCAAGTCCAATTTCTTGCCAAAAAAGATCATCCCAGCCGCAAGCATCCATGGCTTTGGTATCAGTAGGATCAGCATGTTGTAAATGGGCGTGACCCAGATAGGTCCATTTGCATACGGTTGTGCATAAGCTCCGAGTGTCATCGCCTGTGGCCCTAAAGCGGAGGAAAGAAAACTGTCAATAGACGACCTCTTGAAATTTCAGGTGAGTGAGTCAAAGTAGTTATAGAACATTGGACGCCGCTCTTCCCAAATTCATGTGACTGATGAAGCTAGCTAGATTAGGACGTTAACTTCAGAGTAAAGGCTCATCCATTTCCCAGTCGTTTTAAGATGGTAACAAAGAAAGCCAAGCGCTTGAAGTTCAGCTCGATACCTGTAGGTAAGCCAATCACTTAGGTCCATCCAGCGAAAAGCAACAGCCCATGACTCCTTGAGATTTTCCTTCACCCACAGCAGCTGCACCGAAAGAACAAAAGCCAGTTCAGATAGACGTCCGATCAGTCATGTATGTTCGGCTGCATGACTACAGAGATTTCTAGGCGCTCTCCATGACTGATGATGGTCAGCGCGGAAAGCCGTATACGAAGAGCTTGACAGAGAGAAACATACTTTGCAGACCACAGTGCGTGACCTAAGCATCATTCGTGGTGTAAGAGCGTTGATCCTTGGCCGAAGAAATTCAACAGAGGACCTAGATTCGACCGAGAATCACAAACTCTTGCCACTGTCTCAGGATGAAGGAGCTAAAAGCAAGTCTCTCTTTATCAAGTGGAAGTACCTTTGGCGGTTGCATTTCTGGAGAGAGTGCCCCGCCGACATGTTGGAGAACAGGTGATTTGGTTGCATTGATGCGTTCCGCCTGGTCTATGGCACGGTGATCCATCCACACTATCACATTTCGCCTTGCGTCTCCACTCCAAGAAACACTAACGGGAGAATCATCTGCCCCTATGGCCACTGCAGTACAAATATCACGAGCTCAAAACTGTGAGCGGATGTTTGAAGGCACTTTTTCATCACACTTCGTGCAACGATGTGCTAATCTCAACATAGGCAACTTGACGGTCTGACTCACTGGATACAATTTTCTAAAATACTCCTCTTTGCAGAGACAAAGTTCAAGTGTCGCACCGAGTGAGCAGGTGGCAGCGAATCCAATGCCACAAATCTCTGCTCCACTAATGTTCGCATTTTTGCACGCTGCCCTCACAGCTGCACACACCGTAAGCCAGATATCGGTTGAAGATTGCTGCCAGATCAATTACACCATGTCAGGCGGAAACCTTAAGTTCGTTCTCACCATCTGAAGCTACAAGAACAAGAATGACGAACAACAAACCGCCATGACGGTATCACCCACCTCAACACAATCACCCTCCTTCCACATTTGTATTGGACTGGTTGCCAGACCCAAAAGCTTTCCTTCTGAATTAAATACACCTGCAGATCCCCACGCACAAGGCCCACTTAGCCAGCTGCTCACGCTCAGCGCAATGGAAAGTTCGGCAGGATAACGAATCAGAGAACAAAAGCAAATTGCAAAGTCCTCAATCAAACGATCGTCATTGTGCGAGTAGAGAGTTGCTCATTGCGACCACCTGCTCGTGCACTTCCGGTTCCCACATCCACACCCAAATAGGCTGATCCTTTGGGCCTGGGGACAGTGGTAGACGATCGTCCCATGAAGCCAGGAGCTGACGACCTCCGAGACTCCATTGTTGAGAATCGTCTAGAGTCCAGATAACTACCCCTCAGTGATCGCCTGGAATCCATCAACCAGTCAAGCTAGCCGTCAACAGAGACCCACACATCCGGGTGACAAAGATCAAGACACTGACAGGATTCGGAGCAACATCGACAGATTTCTCTCAAGACGTAGACATCTCGCTCCAGATGTCCTGCTATACCTCAGGACGATGAAGTCGAAGCTTCTCTCGTCTCCGGCCAAATGAAAAGTCTCTCACAGATTCACCCAAACCTTTATTAGGGTTGAAAAAAGGCAATCAATCTCGTCGAATCAGACTCGGATTTGGACTATAACCAGCGGAGCGCCTTAACTCCCCCAACCTCCCTCCCCTCGAGTCTAGAAACCGGCGTATTCTACGTTCTTCCTCTTCTTCTTCGTATAGACAAAACGCTCTGGACTCATCCCGACTAAAACTACGGGAAGCAATCGAGCAGCGGCAGAACAGAGTCCGAACTTAATCGGCCCGTCCCTCGAAGCAAGATCCTCATCCACGAGCCACAATTCGACAACAAAGAACGGCGGGCAGGAAACGAAACGCCAAGTGGAGAAAGAAAGGAAACGTACGAGTGAAAGTCATGGTCATGGCAGCGAGAAATCAAGGACTCTTGACTTCATTCGCCTCGTCCTGCTCCGCAGGCCCCTGCCCCGCGTCCTCCCCAAATCCTGCAGGGTCTGCTTCCACCTCTTCCACCTCTTCCTCTCCTTCCTCTGTTGACATACAGAATAGTAGCAGCGCTGTTCACGATCATCGCCATCATCGCCATCACTGCGTCTCCGTCAGCCATCGCAGCCTTGCCAAGTTTAGAGGGGCTCTGCTCCGTCCCTTGACCGTCAAGGGATGGTGGCAGGCCCAGCAAGAGAAAGCGAAAAAGGCGAGCAGAAGCGGACAGAGGACTCGAGGGCCCCATCTGCATCCCCTTCCCCTCCACATTCCTGGGCCCTGAGAAACGCAATTACTGATTTGCGAGGCGAGCGACGAGGGGACTTTCTCCGGGTGGACGTATAAAGCCGTGGAAAGTTCTCCGACATTTTGGACGTTTTCTGATGTGAGTTTGTGATCCGCCTCCTCGCGCTGTCGAGAGAGAGGGAAACAGGGACATTGTGACAAGGGGTGGGGGCTCGGAGGGTGCAGCGGAACCATGGTGCTGGGCATGGTTCACGAGGCGGTGAAGGGAGCGGTTGCGGATGTGAGGTCGGGGGTCACGGCCCGGGAGAAGATCGAGAAGGCTGCGAGTCTGACGCGCACTTTTCTCCGAGAGTTGTTTGGGCTTTTCTCCAGCGCGCCGTACGCTGTTTTCACCAACTCGGTGTGGAGAAAGCCCGAGCAGTACCAACAGCGATGGCATTTCAATCTCCTCCGCAATGTGAGATACGGTCCTGCAGAGCGCAATTTGTGAGCAATACTCTTTCGTCCTTTTTCCTTCCTCTACTGCCTTCCGAAGTACTATCCTACTCGTCTGCTCATTCTTGCGGACCTCGTGAAAAGTCGATCCTCTGTTTGTCAAAAAGTTCATCTCGAGTGCGCATTTGCTAAGTCAGCTCTACGAAGCAGGACAAAACCAAATTCAGAACTTAATAGGATATATCGAAAAGGTTCAGCCACCGTGCAGGCTCGTCTTCATCACAGCAGGTTCTTCGATGATTGCAACCGGCACGGCTTGTTGCTACTCGAATTTTTTTCAAATTCTGCTTTCCAATGATGGAATGCTGATTGTTAAACAAAACCCTGCAGTTACTTTTTTTGTCACTGTGGCCTTCTGATATTGTTGAAGATTTGTCTTCTGATTTCATAGCGGAGCAGCTCAGTATCTGCACAGTGAGGTTCTGGTTCTGGATCGCTCTGATTAGTCTCTCGATTGCGCAGGTTAGACGTGTACACTCCTTCGAGCTGTACCAGTAAGAGCTCTCTGCCAGTGGTTGTGTTCGTCCATGGTGGAGTCTGGGCAAGCGGTGACAAATCTCTGTTCAGTCCGGTGGGTGCAATCCTTGCTCACCACGGAGTGATCGCTTTGTTGGTGCAGTACACTTTATTTCCCCAGGTACATAACTTGCACGAACAAAGAATGATGTGTTTCTTGCTCGACAAGTTCCAATGAGCAATCTGCGGAGTTTCCTTTGATGTTGAGTTTCCTTCAAATTATTGGCAGCTTAAGATGGATCGTGTCTCCTACTAGAGACTATTCTCTTCTCGTTGACGTGTTTCAAACCTCGAGCCGCTTTCCAATCCAGGTGCCTGCAAAAGAGCAAGTGAAGGAAATATCCAGAGCTCTTTCATGGGCCCAGGACAATGTCAAGGGATACGGAGGCAATCCAGACAAAGTACATATGATGGGGCATTCGTCAGGTAAGGCCCACACCGAACGAAATGCTTCTGCCATAGCAGAGGGCAAAATGCAAGCCCCACGATTCCCTCTCCGCCTCTTTGTACTGTCCAGATAGATACTCTCGTAAGTTGATTCATTCCAATTTCTGTAGTTGATAAGCTTGTCCATGAGATCTCGACTTGCATGTCAACAGCAAGCTGTTCAGGCCAATATGAGAAATTTTCCAAGGGAGCTGCCCAAATACTTCCATCTTCCATCTGTTCCTGCTTGACCAGGTTTACCTCAAGCAATAATGCACAGCTGCTTCAGAGCTGCCGAACACCAACTCACGCATGAGAACAAAATCAGCAACTGCTATCCTGGACACTCGTCGAGTCATGACGTGGAATAAGTGATCTCCAGACTGGTTGGCACTTGAGAAGCATTCCATTTTCTCCTCTGAAGACGATCGTTGGGCATTGTTCAGGTGCTCACCTCTGTGGGATGCTGCTGTGGGAGCGAGCGAGGCGCAATCTCAGTTTCAAGAAGGACGTGGTTTCTTCAGCCGAGCCAACGGATGCAAGGCAGCCAAGATGCTATATAGGCTTGTCGGGTGTCTACAACATCGGTGAGCACTACAAATACGAAATGTGGAGAGGAGTAGCGCCCATTTCCTGCATGACTCCAGCCATCGAAGGGCCCAAGCACTTCTCATCCATGTCCCCAGAACTGCTCTTCCGTTCTCTGCTTTCTCTGAAAATGAACCAGCACGTTCAGGACATGGACCCGAATCTAGAAGACCTGAACACCAAAGACTTCGACTGGGACTCTTGGGCCAGTTCTCTTCCACCTTTTCTCTCCATAGTCAGCGACATCGACAAAACAGTTCCTCCAGGCACGTCCATCAACTTCAACCATGTGCTGCAGGAGCTGGGGTGCAAGTCTGGTGTCACAATCCACGAAAAACTCAATCACGACGATTTTGTGTGCTGGGTCAAGGGTTTCAAGGGTCAAGAGAACCTCGCTGCCCAGGAGGTGATTAGCAATATTCTAGACATCGTCAAGGGAGAGGATGAAAGGTCTACATTTCTTCATTCTGAGGTGCTTGCAACGGATTAGCGACAGTCAAAGTCATTGTTAGAATTTTGATTCTGTTACCTCTTCCTACGCTACGGCCCTTCTGTATAAAGCATGAGTCTATCATTACCCTTCAATTCTTGTGTCTTAACCACCGTTGGTTAATACCTTTCTACATTGGAGTTGGATTGTTGGATTGTGCTTTTCAGCCTTTTGACTCTTTGGGTCCTACGGGCTTGATCTATTTACCATTTACATCCTTCGAGTTTTGTCTTTCGAGGACAAGAAGAACAAAATGTCTGCAGATTCTCTGGAATGCTATTTTAGAAATTGCCTGAGTTGAGGGTGTTGGGGACGTTCAGTAGTGTCCAAAATGAGCCACTCGTGTTCTAATATACGCGAACCACCTGTTTGATTTATCCCTTCTTTCCTGTTCATTTTCTCATTTTGTTTAGTGTATGACAGTATCTATATTGTAGACATAATTCTCAGAAAACTAACAACTTATACATTAAGATGTTCCGAACCAACTGTCCAAAACCATCTCACTTCTTAACATCTTTCTGATTTGGGATGAATTTGGCATTCTTCATAATTCAAATATTTAGCCTGTATATTTTATTTATGATCGTGAAAGAACTTGAATTTTTTCTGCACAAATCTAAAGTACATATGTAACATCGTATATAAACTTAATCCAAATATTTCATATTTCAAAACTTTCATGAATTACTCATGGAATTGTTAAATAAGAATAACATATGATATTCCTCGAGGAATGTATGTTCATGTTACATATTTATGTCACTTTGTAGTTTAGATAACGTTATATAACATTTCTATTTTCTCATACAGTTATTTTATGCTAAAATACATTCTTTGTACTAAAGTTTTGTTTCGAATCATGTGAATGAACTACTGAATTATTCTGACAGTCAGTTAATGATATAAACAAAAGTTGGATATTGACAAATTTTGTCACAGTGTTCGATGTTTTAAATTCAATATTCTATACAAAGTTATCATTTGTTGATGGAAAATGACCATTTGCACATAGTATCTTTTTCATTCACTATGCTCAGTTCACGAGCATTTTACGTACCATATCACATGCGTTACTATGAGTTGACATCTAAAAAGAATTTCCACATTTAGCGTTGAAGTTTCGTTACATGGACAGTAACAGAAAGGTGTATACAGAAGCGTACATATAGATATACAAAGCTCGTCGGATATAATGTGACAGTAGTATAATGTTCTTCGGTGACTATCACGTCATTCACGTAGTCTGGTAATTAACCCTCAAAATCATCCTTCCCACAATAGAGCAAATTTGACGTTATTTGAGATTTTCTCTAATTTGAACCTATTGTATCGCTGACACTGAGTACATTCTTCACACTTCTCGATTAGGTTACTCCACAGCCCTTTCCACCCATTCTCGCAACCTGGAGAACGTTCATCTCATGAGGAAATCCCGCTTGCACATTTAGATGAACCACAGAAGACTTCACACCACTTACAAAAGTAATCAGTAACCTCGACAGTGCCGATTGAATCTAAGGGAAGAATAATCGAGAGACGGACGACTGTTCGGACACAGGCAATCGATACACCTTGCACATCGGAGTCTAAAGGTCTGAACTTACTCTTCCGACTGGAAGGGAGTAGAGTTAGCTCGAATGATTGAATGTCAGATGATAGTTCCCACTTCGACTGTAAGGCTAGTAGGTTCACTCTCATAGTTAGTTCAGGCACACAAACATGGAACTGGAAGACCTACATCGATAACGAGCATTCATGTATCCTCACTTGCAATTCCAGGTACCGCGTGGCAACACGAGTGTACAACGCAACAAATCAATTCCATCGATAGCGAGAAGCACAACGTCAAAATCTTGCTAGTTCTTGACCCAAATCCTTCAACCGAAGGTCACTTTACTAAAGTCAAAATTTAAATGAGGTCAAAGGCCCCGATGTAAACTTATGGTACACCTACTCTCCACCAGCCTTCTGGTATACGTAGGTCAAACCACACTTCCCGCAGTAGTGGCGGTCGAAGTGGTTTGCCATGAAAGTTCCGGCACCGCATTCAGGAGTAGGGCACTCCTTACGCAAGCGTTGTACCTTTCCGCTGTCATCAACCTTGTAATATTGGAGGACGGCTAGCTTGACTTTTTTCTTCTTGTGTTTGATCTTCTTGGGCTTGGTGTAGGTTTTTTTTTTGCGCTTCTTCGCTCCTCCACGAAGTCTGAGCACAAGGTGCAAGGTAGACTCCTTTTGAATGTTGTAGTCGGCAAGAGTGCGACCATCTTCCAGCTGCTTGCCCGCGAAGATCAATCGCTGCTGATCCGGAGGAATCCCCTCCTTGTCCTGGATCTTGGTCTTCACATTGTCGATGGTATCCGAAGACTCCACCTCAAGGGTGATAGTCTTGCCCGTTACTACACATTTCGACAATAGATATATTTGTCAGCCTTCCTCTGATTACGACTGCCAGTGATCAGGCTCTACATCTCGTTGTTGCGAAACGCCCTAAAATAAAATACACACAAGACACAGCCATGGTGCGTCGCAGTAACATCCACTAGAATAGACTTCCACAGTCAAAATCGAGAAAGAAAAGCGAACTGGATCATGAACAGGGGCGGGCGATTCTCAGAAACAAAAGAAGCCAGCTTCACATCTCTTGAAGCCACAACATCGACATCGCTAGGATGTAACATGTCCAAAATTTCAAATTTCATTCCTCCAAGAGCTGTTTCGAGGCGAAATCGGCGACAGAAGAGTAACTCCACAACAAATCGAATACAATTCACAAGGAGGTCAGGCGACTTACGGGTCTTTACAAAGATCTGCATGTTTACGAACTCTCAGAACGGCAATTTTAAGCGGCACGGCAGAAGCTCCAGACTATTCCTTCTTCGCTGCTATGTGCGCAGCCCAACATTACTACATGAGAAAGACTCAGATTTGCTCCTTTTCTGCTTCTTATACCGAACCCTAAAACGCTCTGTCTTAAACACTGCTCCGCCCGCCTTCCGATATCAGATCCAAAGGATGAACTGCACTGCCAAAAAGTCTTCATATGAGAACATGCAAGAACATTTCGCATCCTATACAAGAACAACAGAAAAACGAATCGACTCGACGAGCTTCTCGCCGTTCCCGATGTTTCATCGACAGAGGTCCAAATTTCTATTGCACATGTCTCGCATCGAGCCGAGGATGCTTGCTCTTAATTTTTTAACAAAGAGTATGTTCTTGGACTAATCTGCATAAATTAAAGTGGGGCCTGATGTATTAAATAAATTAAATTCATTGTGAGTTTCGAGTTTTGGTCTATTTTATCTCTTTAAATTCCATTCCCTTAAAAGACCCTTAAACAAATGCGTTTTTCCTTCCAGTTAGCTTTCTAGAACTTTCAATGTGCAATTTAAGTTGTGTTGATTTTGGATTATGTAGATATTGTACAACAGCGGAGTGTATATGGGGTTGCACTGTAAACGGAATTTAATCTTGAATATTTAAATCGATATGACTTTCAAATTAAACTGAAATAAACTGTTCTATGTTGGCACATACAAAGTGAATAAACCTAACCCACAACCTTTTCCACCCGTTTTCTTCGTCATGAATTTTCCGGATCCAGTGTAACCTAGCGTAATGTCAAGGAGTTAATTTTTCGATGGGATTATAGATAGCAACCTATATTTTTCACGGACTGCACACCGTTGTCAAGTTTTAAACCTTGTATACTGTAGACATATGATGCGAGCTTTAGTGGAGTTATGCCATCTCAAATCGTTACTGAAACTTCACAGTCCAGTGGAGTTCAAAGAACTTGGGTCATGATTCCAGCCACGGCGATGTCTGGACTCATGACCCCTGCGGTACTTGTATAGTAGGATCGATACTAGTAGAGAGGGTGTCAACATGATGACATTGACGGTCATCCAGCGCTAGACTTCTGGGGCACCTTGGCACTCCAGAAATATAGTATCACTAGGTTCGTACCAATTCCACCCGACTCAAAACCTCATCAAACTTTTGTTGTTGTGAGATAAGTTGTTCACATGATTCTTTCATGAGAAAGCAAAATATCCTTGTATAGTATACATTCATTTAGTCCGCAATTTGATCGGGAGGTCGGGGCGGACCTATGGAAGATAAGGGTTTATACACATGAAGATTAGGGTTACCACATATGAAACACTGTCTTCAAATTAATTTTTACTATTATAAAAGCATATACGCTGAATAGCTACAAGGACTCATCACACTCCGTGTTTGTAGGGGCTACAACTCTTTAAGAACCTTTCGCTGCAAAGAGTCTCCCTCTCAACCTGCGTTACACTTGCATCCTCCAACCTCCACTCCCCTCTCAACACCTTGACTCACTCTGTGCGCATCTAGTAAGAGAGCCAACAAGCTCAAACTCCTCTCGGCTCAGAATCCTGGAGCTCCTCTCCTCTCAACCTCCGTGCGTCAGTTCGTTTCTCTCTTCCTCACTTCTTGTCTTCGGTTTCCATCTCCCACACAATCAATCTGGATGTCAATATGAGTGGCATGAAATCTTCGTCATGTTTATCATCTCCCACATAATCAATCTGGATGTCAATATGAGTGACCTGAAATCTTCGTCATATTTATCATCCGACCATATAAATCAGGGCAAGGCATTTTACAAACTAAACGATGTGCGATAGCCCGAGAGCCCATTGAAAATACCCGCTAAATTACTTTATTTGATTTTCTGTAAAATATTGGACACTCTTGAGAACTGACACAACAATTTTGCTTTGTGAAGTGCTGACTTAATTGGGATACCAAATACAAACCAGAATCAAATTCTCCCTGAATTTAGCACCTTGAATAATGAGAGTCTGATGGAGCTTTCTAAAGACTACAGGGAGTATCTCTGGGAACAGATTTAAGCTTTACACTCCATGTAAAAAACTCACAATCGGATGTTCACCTGCAGTGAGTGAGGAGCATTAAAACCAAACTAAAACATCGTCGAATGTGCAGGGTCCATACTATGCGATTAATTCTAATGCGCAACTAGCTTACATCTTACTCCAGCTCCGCAGCTCCTAATTAATTCAAACCTACAATCCCCAGACACTTCAAATACGACTTCATTTCCTCGTTCCAGTTTGTGTCAATTCAAAAGTGCACGTAGATCGGGACCTCGACAGGAACATTGGCGAACCATTAATTCGTTGTGTAGATGTTTAGCAGCGGCTGGTGGATGCTTAAATCTTCAAGGGCAGGGCAAGGGAGTGCTTACCCGATCTGAGAAACTCAAGAGCTCCCGAAACCAGAGCATCTGAATCTCCAGAGCTCAAGCATGCAATTTTGACACCGAAGTCCACAGTCATTCGTTGTATTATCCACATAGATGTAGAGGACCTTCGGGGATCTCGAAGACAGCAGCTACGGTGGAGCTGCTATCGCATATTGAACCTGACCGAAAGACAACAAGGTCCAGCATGGTTTATATTATAAATAATATACATTCAGTTGTCTGTACGTGAGACTCACAGTATCATCCGGACTTATCGTTCAAGTAGACTTCTGAAGTGCCATATCGGAAGGAATGTCGACCCTGTGCGGAACGAATTGCCTCATAGAAAAGGTTTCATGCTCATCGGATAGTTTACTATCCGAGGAAAGATTTGGACTACCACAGAAAACTTAAATAGTCATGCCGGTTTGGCCATGCCTCCATCGCCAGCTGACCATGCGGGTGAATCTAATGTGCAGTTGGTTATTCGGTCAAATTTTTCTCTTGTCGCGATGCCATTTGAAATCTGTAGATGTATGGAAGGAGAGAAGGTCAGGTCAATCCGAACGCATCGTTGAATGATAATCGCTGATTCTTCGAGTGCTTACCATCCGCAAATATGCATTGCATCTTCCTTCTGCATTACTTTTATGATAGATTATGGTGCATGATAGAAAGTCTCATAGACAGGTGGACGTAGCTGGCGAGTGTAGTTGCAGGGTGCAAATCGATTGATCAGGCAGTTGCGTTCAACGTCGGGGCACGAACATCTCTCACCTATGTTCACACACCTGTTGAACTCATGCATGCAGGGAGATTCATGGCGTTTTAGTGCGGACTCTTTGTTGTTAGTATTTAGTTACATTAGTATAGTGATGAGATTGGTATAATTTGTGTTTTTAGATCTTCTTTGTCTTCTTTGTATGGTATATTGTGGATGTTCTCTATCATAGTTATCTCCTTTGCTACTTCACGTATCCTACTCTCACTAATCATATATTGAGCTCAGCTCTTATTTCCAACATGGTATAAGAGCTAAGTGCTTCGTTATTCTTTTGCTAGCGACATTTACCGATCTTGTTCCTTTCAGTAAGCATATGATTTCCTATTAGGAGAGAATTTGTTGTTCTAGGAGATTAACTAGCAATGGAAAAAGTTTCAAATTTTTCCAAGTTTATGAATCTTTATGTACGTGACCATTATCTCAATTGGTAGATCCACCTCAAAACAATTCTTCGCATCAAAGATTGTTGGAATGAAATCATACACCAACCGATTCTACTTCACAATCTTGATGGCGTTCATCAGCAAGACATCCGCAAGCATCTTATCAAAGCCATAACTCTAATTCAGACCACTATACATTTTGACATTCTACTTTCTATTTCATATTTTGAGTACACTCCTGCAAAGCCTTATACTCAACTTTGTCAGCAATACGAATCGCGTAACACACAACGAAGGCTAATTCTCACTCACTTGTTGTCCTTGCTTCAGCTTGCAGATGACGCTTCTCTTGAAAAGTACATACAACAAGTAGACTTTATCGCTGCCCAGCTCGCCGGCATCGGTCATAGAGTGCCAAGCACTGACCTCATACATCACACGCTAAAGGTACTGCCTGCTAGCTACCGCCCTTTTGTGCATAATTTTCTAGGCAAAATGTAGCGTCAGCCTCCTTCGTCGTATCAAGATCTCGTCAAACGTCTTCTAATCATACAGTACTTCACCTAGGAGAAGACACAATCAGACAAGGAGTCTAATTTCTCCGCTACCAAACGCCATAATTTTCGTGCCCGTTCAAGTCATTCTCCTCGATCAACTCGTTCTCATGTTACCTCAACACCACAGGCGGAGTGGAATATGTCCCGTTCAGCACTCTGTGATTACTGTAGCAGGATTAATCATGTTCTCGATGACCATCACTTACAAAAATTAGACGAGTCCATTTGCACAATTGCAAATCCGCGCATCCAACCTCCGTTGCAGCAACCGTGATCACGTCCACATGATGGAAGAAGAGGATCCTATGATCCATATTGAATCTCTAAAAGTTCTTCAATAACCTCTAGACAAAGGAGCAAATTTTACATGTGACATATCTCAGATAGTTGATTTTTATCTTGATTCGGGACCAATCATCCATGTCATAGGAGATCGTTCTCTCCCGTCGTCATTTTAAGTAGAATACTCATCAATAAGAATGTCTAAAGCCTATGGGGCTTGTGTTTTTTACCCAAAAAAACACAATGTGTATTGACTGTAATAAATCCGTCAAACACGTTCTGTATGTTCCTTGGTTAATAAAAAATCTCCTGTGATTCAAGGCATTATAAACTCTTTAAGTCTTATTCATGTTTTCATTTATATGAAAAAGATCCAACCAATATATTTCTGTACGCAAATAGGAATCCCATAGTAGATTGTATAAGATTAAAACTTTTCATCCTCAATTATTTGAAGAATCCAAACAACTACTCACAAAGCTTCATGCAACTCTACAACATTTCAGGCCTCTCGACTATCTTGATTTTGTCAAGATTGCTAAAGACAATCCGACTCTTGCAATTGTATTGCAATTGTATCGCCCATTGACTTAATATCCCGTTGGCATCATCTGCTATTTCACTTGAATTTCTAGACGGCACACCATATGTTGTCTAAATGCCTTGTGAAAGTTTTGACTTACTTTCCATCAAGTCGTAAACATAAGTGCGTCACTTGCGTTTTGTCCAAGCAACATCACATCCACAGAAAATACGAAGTCTGCCAAGCGAAGTACTCATTCTTTAGAGCTTGTCCATACCGACATCTACGATCCAATTGTAGCGAGAACCAAATTTCAGTATATGCTGACTTTTATTGATGACTATTCACGTCATACATGAACCTACTTCCTTTGAGTTAAGAGTGCTACTGTTGAATGTTTGAAACAGATGGTCACTTTAATCAAAAACGTGTTACTGCATAAAGTAGCTACCATCTCTACTCAAGAGAGTGATTGGGATTTCAAAGTCTCACACCTTCATTCAGACAAAGGAGTAGAATATTTGTCTCATTTCTTCAAAACCTACTTTCTTAATAAATGCACACAACGTTAGCTCACCATTGCTCGAACTCCGCATCAAAATGAAGTTTCAGAGCACAAAAACGGTATGCTGATTAAAGCAGTTCAATGTTTGTTTAGTTTTCAAAAGTTTCATGTACATTTATGTACTAAGTTCATTCGAGCTGCAAACTGTGTGCTCAAGTGGTGTGCTACTCAAACACTAAACTTGACAACTCCGTTCGAGAAATTACATGACATTACTCCCGACTTATCTCGTCTTCGTGTGATTGGACTTCTAGTCTACGTTCACATACTAATAATATAGCACATGAAATTACAAGTGAAGTCTTTTTGTGATGTATTGTTGAAGTACGATGAGGAGTCACGAGCCTATTGTTGTTGGGATTTGTATAACAACCGCATAGTTGTGTCCGCATGTGTTATTGTATTTGAATCTGTCCCATATGATTTTTGGTCCGATCAATCATATGTGGATATTTTTCCTTCTCTTCTCAATGATGATCCTACGCTTCCTACTCCATCATTGTCTGAAGAGTATAACTCTCATCAAGCTGATTCCACGGCTCTTTCAAATATTCATCAACCAAACGTACCTCAACCTCAAGCACGGCCTACAAGTTCTCTTACGATGTCTAACATTGCTACAATCTCCGCGGTCTCAAACATGGCTCTTCCACAACAAAACCTTTCAAGAATGCAACGTTATGACGATTATTACATCTCTGCACCTCATCAACTCAATGTTGTTGAGATTACTCAACCAATTAATGATCAAATTTCATTTCATCAAACAAAGTTTCATCAAGACAGATGAAAAGCAATGTAGCAGAAATTTGACGTTCTTATTACCAATCTCACTTGGAAACTTGTTGAATTTTCTCAAGGTCAAAACGCACTAACTTCACGTTGGATCTACAAAGCGTAACAGAAGTTCAATTCCACACGAATTTGTCTAAAAGCTAGGCTTGTTGTTCGTGGCTTGGAGCAGACGTATAGAATGGATTACAACGAGACATTTGCTCTTGTAATCCGCAAGTCTACTCTTTGAGCAATGATAGCACTATCTGTTACTCTTGGTTGGACTTTGCATCATATGGATGTTATCACAATAAATTATCGTGATTTTTAATGCTCTTAAGGTTTTTGATTATGCACATTTTACAACTTGTTAATACATCTTTACTTGATTTGACATGTAACTATCCAATTTGCTCATAATTAAGCAATATTAGGTCAAATGCATTATTAAATGCATGACTTTTTATATTTTTTTCATTAAAAAATGTTGAAAGCTTTCTTGGCATAATATTAATTGAAAAAGAAACTACAAAGAGCTTAAAATGTGATAAAGCGCCAAACTCCTTTAATAACTGTCATGATAAACCTGCTAAGCACACGTTGACTGAATGTACTTATCTTGATTTAGCCCTAAATTTTTTTTCATCATTCCATCTATTTGAATATTCATTTTTTAATAAATTTTTTAAGTTATTGAAAATTTTCATTTAAAAAATAGAATTCAGTTAGAATCTTAAATTTGTCTACGTTGGATTGATTCTTTATCAAAATAAACATAATCTTTGACAATATTAGATTGATATGAGTAATCATCTAGTTTTTTCATGAAGTCTCATAAAATGTAAAAAAAAAATTCTTCTGAATAATGAATAAGACGATTATGGTAGATATTTTCTATGCATGAATATATAATATAATTCAACTATGTAAAATCATGATATTGAAAAAAAAGCCATATGTTGTTCATTTGAGTGAAAATTAGTCTAAAGCTCACAATTTAAATAGGCTTCGTTAACAATCTTCTGTTTTTCATGATCTCATTAAATTCAAACTTGCTTCAATTCATACAATTTCAGCAATCTACAAATAAATTTTGCTTGATTTTTTTGCCAAAGCCAATTAATTGTCTCATGTAGATTTCTTATTCTAAATAAGTGATCTAAATGTCTAAATTTGATATTAATGCAATATGAAATTTATTTAGATTTCCTCCTACAAACATGGTCAATTCTAAAAATTGACCATGTTAATTTTAGTCATGACTTTCTTTATTTCATATGTCTATTATTAGCAAAATGATGATAATTTAATCATTGAAAGAGGTAAAAAGTGATGATGTAGAGATGATTAATAAAAAATTATACAAAAATATAATATTAATGTTGATATAACTGAAATATTAAAAAAAAACCAACTAAAATGATCAACATATTGAAGCAATGTAAAAAGAATGAGATTTTA